TGCTGCTGCTGCTGCTGCTGCTGCTGTTGTCATACCCGAGAAACCGCTTGGGGGCGAGGAGAAGTTCAAAGACACAGAGCCGCAGCACGCGGCTGTCTGTATACCCCAGGTGCCGCAGGTTGATGGCTGCTGCCTGAGGGGAAACAACAAAAGCAGCAGCAGCAGCAACCATAGCAACAGCAGCATCCACAGCAGCAGCAGCAGCAGCAGCAGCAGCAGCAGCAGCGACGGCAGCTGAACAGGATTCCGTTAGAGCTCGCCCGTGCAGCTGTATCTCTGCTCCTAGCTGCTCTGCGGCCTTCGTGCTGGAGCCTGCGGTTTAGGGTTTAGGGTTTGGGTTTACGGCGAAGGGTTTAGGGTTTACAGTTAAGGATAGGGTTAAGGGTTAGGGTTTAGGGTTTAGGGTTTATGGTTTAGCGTTTAGTTTACTTCTCATTGCTGTCAAGGGTTTAGCATTTATACTTCAGCCTAGGGTTTAGGGTTTAGGGTTTAGGGTTTAGGGTTTACCTCGCAGCAGTCTAGCGATCTGTCTACTAGGACTGCGTGCTGGGCCCCCCTAGAGAGACTCTCCACCGCCAGGGCCCCGCTGCCGCAGAAGAGATCTAAAACTCTGAAAAAAAAGCAAACGCATGCATGCAAACCAAGTGCTGCAGCAGCAGCAGCAGCTGCTGCTGCTGCAGCTGCAGCAGCAGCAGCAGCAGTGGGCTGCAGCAGCTGCAGAAACTACAGCAGCAACAACTGCTGTTGCTGCTGCTGCTGGAACAGCTGCTGCTGCTGTTGCTGCAAGCCACCACCTTGTGGGTATGCAAACACGAGGGTTTATAGCCCTAAACCCTAAACCCTAAACCCTAAACCCTAATTCCCATTAACCCTTATTCTTTAACCCTAAACCCTAAACCCTAAACCCTAAGGGAATAATGGTTTAGGAGTGTTGGGGTTTAAGAGAATTAGGGTTTGAGTGTTATTAGGGTTTAGGGTTATTAGGGTTTAGGGTTTTTAGGGTTTAGGGTTTTTAGGGTTTAGGGTTTTTAGGGTTTAGGGTTTGTGGGGGACCTACCGAAGGCGGGGGATCGAAAAAACGCCCAAACTGTGCAGCATAGAAAAGACAGCCTCGCGCACCTACACAGCAGCAGCAGCAGCAGCAGCAGCAGCAGCAGCAGCAGAGGCAGAGACAGAGATACTGAGGCAGCAGCAGCTGCAGAAGTAGAGACGAAAAGAGAGACAACAGCAGCAGCAGCAGCAGCAGCAGAAGTTTAGGAGACAGAGAGACAAATGCAGCAACAGCAGCACTAGAACTAGAGACAAAAATAGAGGGACAGCAGCAGCAGCAGCAACAGCAGCAGCAGCAGCAGACAACGAGACAGTAGCAGCAGCAGTAGAAATAGATACAGACAGAAGAAATATCAGCAGCTGCAAACAACAGATGCACCATCAGCATCACCAGCAGCACAATCACCATCACCACCAAAAGCAGCAGCAGCAGCAGCAGCAGCAGCAGCAGGCGGAGGAACAGCAGCAGCATCAGAATCACCCCAAGAAGCAGCAGCAGAAGCAGGAAGAGTAGCAACAGCAGGAACAGCAGCAGCAGCAGCAGCAGCATAAGCACCATCAGCAGCAGCAGCATAAGCACCATCAGCAGCAGCAGCATAAGCACCATCAGCAGCAGGAACAGCAGCAGCAGCAGCAGCAGGAACAGCAGCAGCAGCAGGAGCAGCAGCAGCAGACCTGGGCCATCATAGGCCTGGTGTAGTCTGTGCGTGGCCCTAGCAGTCTCCTGCCTTTGTTTGTCCCCCCAGTAACCCGCAGCAACCCAAACCCTTTCTCTGGCGGAGGCGGAGAAGGGAGAGAGCTGCAGAAGCTCTCTGCGCCCCCTCGTATTGCTGCTGCTGCTGCTGCTGCTGCTGCTGCTGTTGCTGCTGAGTCTGCTGCTGATGCTCCTGCTGCTGGTAATAATAATGATGGTGGAGAGGCTCCTGGTACTGCTCCTCCTGCTGCTGCTGCTGTTGCTGCTGCTGCTGCTGCTGCTGCTGCTGCCTTCGCAGCACCAGAGAACGTCTCGTGCTGCGTCGCCAGGAGACCCGCTAAGCCTAAACAGCAGCAGGAGCAGCAGAGACAGCATGCAGCAACAGCATAAAGGAGACAGTAAACACAGGAAGCAGCAGCTGCTGCTGTCTCCTTTCTGTTGCTGCTTTCAGTCTGATGTGCTGCTGCAGCTCGCATATACTGTGGACTTGCTGCTGCTGCTGCTGCTGTTGCTGCTACTGTGCTGCTGCTGTTGCTGCTGCTGCTGCTGATGCTGGATGCGGTGGTGCTGCTGGTGGTGCTGGCGCTGCCTCTGCTGCTACTGCTCTTGCTGGTGCTGCTGCTGTTGCTGCTGCTGCTGCTGCTGCTGCTGCTGCACTTACTGCCTGAGAGCCTTTGTCTGCCTCGTCTTTTGCGGGGTCTAAATCGATCCGGCCTCCGAACGTCGAGCGCCGCCTGCGGCAGCGCCCCCCACTCA